ATTAACTCAAAAGACGCGTGGAATTCGCCTGAAAACTCTGCTGACTTTCCCTGCTGCGTTTTTGAGATTGCTCATGTGGACGAAACGAAGCAGTCGTTTTTCTGTGGAATACAGGCGTCTCATTTGGATGACACCGCCGAAACTGAACTTGTGGCGTTCTTTGAACAGGAACAGGTAGTGTTAAAGTATTAGAGAAGGAAAAAAGTACATAATCTTTTAAGAACGACTAAAGTAAGGCAAATGTATTTTAAAAAAATACAAGTAATGATCTTTGCTCTATTGAAGCTATTGCCAATAAGAACGTAAGAACGTAAGAACGTACAAAAGTTAAAAAAAAAGCACTTGTGTATAAGACACTCCTCATATAGAGAAATGAGTAGTGATTGCTTTTCATCCTTTTTTCAGGAGAACGAACTGCACCTTATCGATCAAAATGTTATTGCCCCAGCAGAACTGCTAATCGGAGAGAACAACGTTATTGGTAAGCCCTACAATTAGCAGAATTGAATAATATTATTTCATGTGATGCAGTGTTCGTTTTACGGCTTACCTGTATACTCTTGCAGGGGCGTTGCGTGCTTGTTCGTGGACAACACACCGAAGAGAAGGTCCAAAGCGTGAGCCACTAGTGGGGTTGGGGAGCATGCCTCCTTCCCCCGGGCAGGAAATTTTTACTTTTAGGAGTTTGGAAATGCCGTTTCCCACGTTTTCCGGGTGCCCTGCACATTAAAACCAGGCTCGTTAGCTTTTATTAAATGTTCACCATTCTATTTTGGCCTTTTTTAAGTGTCAAACCATGTAGCCTGCGAGAAACCCATACTAATAGGGAGCACAGCCTAATGCAAAATACAAAACTGAGAAGACTAAACTATCTACTCCAAAATATGACATTATATTTTACATTTTATTTTGTACATTGTATTTCTACATTATTTTATTTACATTATATTTGTACAAAATAGACATTTGTTTCATTATATTAACATTATGGTTACATTATATTTGTACAGTAATATATTTTGCGAATGAAACAGACTTATGCAGGTTTCGCACTTTTCGTGAAAATCCTTGAAAACTCCAGTGGAATATTAAAATGTTCTTTCAAAGCCCTGAAATAACTCCTTTTTTTTCTCTACTTTCCCTTCGAAAATCCGTGCACTCATAATTTCTCCACAACAACGAGACTGATATCAGAATACCCTGCCTATTCTCAAAGGCTTAATTCTACTGCTCCTGCGATCCAGCAGTCACTTGAATCACAGGTAGCTATAGTAACATTAGGCTTCCTGTGGTCATCATTATTTACATACATGCATAATTTGGTTGTTCAACAGATCGTTAAAGGAATCACTTAGACAGTGTCAGGGTATTAACCGTACCACTGCTGTGCTAACCTGCGATCAGGCAGTGTTTGTTGTTGTTGTTGTTGTTGTTGTTGTTTGTTGTTGTTTGTTGTTTGTTTTTTTTTTCTTTTTGGATCGCAGGTTGCTGAGACTACTAAAAGATCAAAGAAATTTTGTACATAGAACAGAAACTTGCAAAAGTTTAAACGAAAGCCACAAAGGCGTGTTGAATTAGACTCTTTCGTTAAAAATTTCAAGCGAAATTTACATGTACTCCTTCGCACAAATTGAGGCATCTTAGACCTATTTTCTCCATTCTTAGTGGCACTGTATATGACTCTGGTGGCACCGGCTTTTCTACATGTACTTCCCAATAAGGAGACCATAAGATTGCATTCGTTGGCGTGAGTCTTGAGAGCTCTGGAAATGGCCTGTTTTGTTGTTGTTGTTGTTGTTGTGGTTGTTGTTTGATCGCCTACAACATTTATACTCGCTAATGGGTTTTTAGCATTGGTGGCGATGCCGTTTTTCAGTTTTCTCGTATACAGCCCTCTTCCTTGATGCCACGAATCAAGTTGATAGCCGGACTAAAACAAAGACCCACTGATCTGAACCTTCAAGTCCGTCATATAATACTGAAAATGAGATGACTAATTTACTCGCTCCCCTTTTATTGAAATTCTTATTGCTCGGAATTCAACAGTCTGAATCAGAATGCTTCGTTGTTTACGGACGCCGCTGCGCAATGCCTGTCAAAACTTTTTAGCCTTCTTCCTCTAGTCTGTACTTAACAAACCGGACAGATCATTAGCTATCTTCACTGCGTGGCCAAGCAGTCAGCGAGTGGACTGCTTACGTGAGTTAGTCACCAAAAAACCTCAAACAAACAAACCAGACTTACCTGTAGCAACCCAGTCAAAATAACTCTTCTAGAGGAAACGCGGTGAGTACTAGCGAGAAACAAATTCAAGCAAGGGTGTGATGGAAAAGTAATAGATATTTTTTCACTTTTAAATTGAAAAAGAAAAACTGCTGCCAGGTATAAGCTGTGTTGTCTAATTGGATACCAGCCAATTTCAATTTCGTACAGCTTTCCTCTCGCTATGAATTCACGTGAGTGAACACATGAGTTCACCATTTTTGAATCTATAAATGTGCATGTCATAAGTGCATTTCTATCCAATTCAAACTCTTTAACAATAGTACCAATAGTATATGTAGTTGATCATTGTAGAAAACAATGATCAAATGTGCAGTAAACCCATCGATTCATTCCTCCTTGTCATCTTTGGTGTTTCAGTCACCGCAGGCATGCTCAGTGTGTGTGAACTTAACAACATAGCAAATGGGAGAGCTAATACTTGGAAGATTCTTGCACGTCAGCCAAACATTAAAGCCACTTATAAAGAAAATGGAGGTATGTGCGATGTGCTCTTTCGTTGGATACATCAAAAGACAGGTAAATTGTCTGGTTTGTAGTGTATAAAATGATTATTACTTGAGTTATAGATTTTCATCTGATAAGTGTATTTCTATCAAATTCAAACTATTTCAAGTGCCTATGAAGTAAAAAATAATTGCTGCTTATTTGAAAGGCTTTTCAAAGTAAAGAAGAATGGCGTTTCCCTTTTTGGAATATCTTTTTTCG